CTTGAACCTCTGGAAGTTCTCTGTCAATGTATGATTGTAGCCGTTTCTGTATTACCTTTAGCAAAACTTTACTGGCATAGGATATCCAAGAGATTGTCCGATGATTTCCGCATTCTGTTGGGTCACCTCTCTTTGGAATGGGCACAAATAGGGATCTCTTCCAATCAGCCGGCCAGATAGTTGTCTTCCATTAAGGGAAGTAACAGGTTACAATTCAGGATCAGGAAAGACTTAGAATATAGTTCTTTGGTCAGGACAGCTTCTTCTCAGCCATGCCTACAGGCAGTCCTTTCCCTGGCCCTCAGTCTCTTGGCTCCTTGGGCCTCTGCCTTGCTCTGGCAGAGCAAGTGCTCCAAAGCTCTTTAGCTCCACAGATAAATGCCCAGAGGCACCTCATTCAGCTAGCAAGCCTCCTGTTTCAGGGTCAGGAAACCTGCTGTGCTGTCTCCAGTTGTCCTGCTGCCTCTGCTTCTCTGCTGCTGCTTCTTCCCATTCCCAGTATTACAACTCTGTCTCCTGGGTTTAAGAACTTCTCAACCCATGGACCCGGGCTTGAAAGGACATGTTCCTCTCCCATCTCTTCTTGATATTAGTGATCCTCGCCTTGTGCCACTTGGATGGCAAATCTGACCAGTCACCTGATTAGCAATCCATACATCTTATTTTCATAGGTCCCCAACACCACCATCACCAAGACTCCATGCACCTAATTTGTATTAGCAGTAAAGCTGCCCAATCCCCTTGGTGGGCCACAAGCATCTTATTTGCATAGCTCCACGTAAACTTGGTTATGTGCTGTAGAGTTGGTTCCAGCTCATAGCGACCCTATACAGAGAGTAGGGTAGTTAGAGATCATTCAGTTATTAAAGATGTTGGCCTTTATTGTGTTTGTCATAGTATAAGTAGGGTGTTGTTGTTGTTAAGTGCTGTCAAGAGATGGTTTCTCCTCATAACAACCCTGTGCAGAGTTTCCTAGGAGCAGTGGGTGAGCTTGAACCACCAACCTTGAGGTTCAAACCAACCTTGCAGTCCAGCGCATTAACCTACAAGTAAGTAGGGTAGAACCTTTGAAAGGTGTGCTGAGATCATTCTCATGCTAAATCTAGGTCACTTATTAAGTTGACACAGTGGCACACTAACCCCAAACTAGCCTAGGTAGAATTTCAAAGTAGGAGATTACCTTTATCCCTACCTTCTTTTTCTTCTACTAGTCTTTTACCCACTCATCACCCTCCCCAACATGGTCCCTCACCCCTATGCTCAGCATCCTGGTTCTGCTCTCTGAGTGGAAAAAACTGCCAGCTATAGTAGCACCCCACCCTTTCTAAAAAGGTTCCCAAATTACCCCACCTTTCCTCCACCTCCTCCAGGATCTCATTAGGTGTTGAAAGGAAGGGGTCCATTATCTAATTAGAGACTCACAATAGGATGTGAGTAAGTTCTGTGTTTGACCTTTTATCTACCTATGAGAAGAGACAGTGACTTGATACCTGAATGTGTCGATGGTTGTTAAGTGCAGATGAGTGGGTTCTGATCCGTAGCAACTCTGTATAGGGGTTCTGAGAAGAGGCTGGTGAGCTTGAACCGCCGACCTGCAATTGTAGCCCTTACCTGTTTCTGCTAGACTTTCTAATGCTAGTACTAGAGAAACAAGAAAAAATAGCTCGACACTTTATTTATGAAAGATTGTTTGACTTCACCCAGAAAGATTCACTTTGTCTCCAACTATCCACAGCAGACTGATTCTTTAACACTTTTTTGATGGTGGTCTTTTGGGGTGTTTAAAATAATAATAAATAACTTAATCTTATAGATGAAGTAAATAAATGGAGGCTCTGATTTAATCATCAATCAACACACTTCATGATAAATGTTGCCTCATAGAATGTATGGATTTCTGGGGTTGTCTCAATTCTTAGTATTTCCATTAATAGGTGTCTTAGTTGTTCTGATCAGCTAGGTGATCAGCAAATATTACCTATGTGATTTAGAAATTTGAAGTTTAATTTGTTTAGAGTTTAAATTAGAACTGTCCTTGAATTTTGTGAGATTATTATAAAAAAAAAATTAGGAACTGTTGTTATTGTTAAGTGCCGTCGAGTCAGTTCCGACCCACAGTGACCCTGTATAGGGTTTCCGAGGAGCTGCTGGTGAGTTTGAACTGCCGACCTTGCAGTTCAAATGACTTTGCAGTCTG